AGCATAATATAGACATATATAGTTATACATACATATAAAACTATACGTGACAAACCTACAGCCAACATCATATAACAAATTTAAAACATTTCTGCTAAAATCAGGGACAGGATAGGGATGTCGACTTTTTCCACTCCTAATCTGCTTAGCACTAGAAGTCTTAGCTGAAACAATAAGACAAAGGGGTGGCGGGGGAGGGACACAAATAAGAAAGAAGTAAAATTGTCCCAGTTTGAAGATGACATGATTTCATGCAAAAGAGCCCCTACCGAATGCTTCAGAAAGCTCCTAGAATGCATCAGAAAGCTCCTAGAAATGATAAATACTGGGCAAAGTGGCAGGATGCAAACGAAGACACAGAAGCCAGCAGGCTGTGTAGCCAATAATGAACATGCTGAGAAAGAGATTTGTAAAAATCCCATTCATAATAGCTTTAAAAATAAAACTTTAGAATAAATCTAATCAAGACAGTGGAATGAAGACTTCTACAATGATTATTTTAAAACACCAAAGAAAGAAACCAAAAGACATTAGGATGTGGAAAGACTTCTTACTCTCAGCTATTGGTAGAATTAATACTGGAAAATTGCTACATTACCCAAAATAATCTACAGATTCAATGCGAATCTGTATATATATATACACATATATATACATATATATATAAAATTATATATATATATAAACTCAAACAACTAAGTACTAGAAAAACAAGCAACACAGTCAATAAATAGGCAAATGAGCAGACATTTCCAAAAAACCAATCCACATACAAAAAAAAGTTCAATTCCTTGGCCATCAGGAAGATTTAAATTAAAACAACAATGAATCCCATCTCACCCCAATCAGAACAGATATTGTTCTGAAAACAACAAATGCTGTTAAGGATTCAAGAACAGGGAATATATGATATTTATATAATATATATTATATAAAATTGCTAGAAATGTAAAGTAGGCTAGCCAGTTTAGAAATTAATACAGAGGTGCTGAAAAATAAAAGCTAAAATTGGAATTATCACATGACCCAGCTGTACCACTTCCGGTATACAAAACCAACACACCCCAGAGACACCAGCTTGTCCATGTGGAGGGCAGCGAGCGCTACTCACCATAGCCACGCTGTGCCATCAGCCTGGATGTCCATCAGCAGAGGGATGGACAAAGAAAGTGTGGAATACACACACACATACATACCTACATACACACACAAAATGGAATTTTGCTCATCCACGAAGAAAAATAAATGATGGTGTTTGCAAGGAAATGAACACAACTGGAGATCACCAGGTTAAGTGACTATAAGACAGACTCAGAAAGACAAATATGGAATGTTTTCTCTCTTTTGTGGATCCTGGATTGTATGTAGATGCACAAATAATATAAAAATACATTTATAAAATATATAATTTATATAACAATATATTGTTTATTGATTAGTTTATTATATATAATATTTGCTATTCTATTACATGTTATTATTAACATATGTTAAGATACACTTGCATGAACTGGTCTCTGTATGCACAGAGAGTATATACCCAGAAAGAGGGCTGGAAAAGCTTTCAATGGAAAAGCACTCACTTGGCATGCCCGGCGCCCCGTGTTTCATCCCCATCACTAAAATAAATATGTAGAAAAAAAAAGATCATTTGTTGCATTCAATGAAAAAAACAAAACAAAACAGTGCACACTCCATTCAATTACACCCTCATTATGAGCGAGGGAATACATGTGTATGCGTGTGTATATGGGCATGGAAGCACATACATACATGTCTGTATACTTGTGTATGTATATGTGTGTATGATCTAAAGTCTATTTAGCTGAAACTGTGTGAAAAACACTGGATACCTTTGTCTGTAAAGGCTCAGTTAGACTCTGGAATAAGACTCAGAAACCCAATGACATTGGTTGTCTTTAGAGAAAGCGTCTGGGTGACTAGATTTTTACTATATGAACGTATTAGTCACTTAATTATATTAAATTATTTATTTTTTAAAAAGTTAGGAACAGGGTCTTGCTACATAAGTCAGGCTGGGCTCCACCATCCATAAGCCTTCTGCCTCAGCCACTTAAGTTCTGGGTTTGTGATACCATTACTGGGATTTGGTTTTGTTTTAACATCATCTATATTGTTTAGTTTAACAAATTTCTTTTTTTTTCTTTTTTTATTTAATTTTATTTTTTTTCTTATCAGTTACATTTTATTAACTCTGTATCCCAGCCGTGTCCCGCTCCCTCATTCCCTCCCAATCCCACCCTAACAAATTTCATTTTTTAAAAAAATATCTGAGTTCATTAAAATTTGAATACACACACAGGGGAAAACCTAGTGCTAGAGGGGCTCTGCACATCAGCCCCTCGTAATTCCCAGCGCCAAAAGCCCAGGGTGAACCAGACAGAAGGCAGTCCCCTGGAGAAGAGCCCCCTAGGAGGAGTTAGAAAGGAGTTATTCAAAGCGTCACCTGGGAAGTGAAGTCATCGGGAAGAACCAGTTAAGTCAGGTTTCCTCTGGCCTCCCAACCCTGTCCATGCTATGGTCTGAGCAGAGACCGAGGAGGAAGGAAGAGCCAGCAGTCACAGGTGACCAGAAGAACGGAGTCCCCCACCCCATCTCTGAAATCCACAGAATGGAAGACTCAGGGCTCCTCTAAAGAGAAGAATGAGGGGTCATGCGACCTCTACCAGATTTCAGGGGCCCAGAAACTGGAGCTAACTTTCGAGTTATAAAATCACACCCATTTCTGGGTGACAGGTCCTACAAACCATCAGTGGCACCACCTGGTTTTACACAGGACTCCGAGAGGGTGTGGAAAGGCCCGAGATCCTGCTCTCTGAACCTCCTGCACCAGCAGCCAGCGGAATCTAGTCTGTTTCTGCTTCTAAAGCTTGTTTCTTCTGCAGAATTAGCTCCAGCCACACCGGGTTTCACAGAGGTTTTTGATCTGTCTTCTGTGCTAAGGATGGAACCCTGGATCTTCTACGGGCTAAGCAGAGCTCTTGACCTCTAAGCCACACCCCTCCCCTGAAACTTAAGTGTTTGCACTTCTCTGCACGTGGTAGAGGAGAGATGCTGGGATGATGAGCTCTCAGATGTGGTAACAAGGTTCCACCAACAGTAACAGCGGTGGTTTGTTCTGTCCGGGCTGCAACCCGGACATCTGCATCCAGAGTGGGCAGAGGCCCCTCGGAGGGTGCTGGAAAAGGAGCCCTTCTTCTTCCTACTGGCACAGTTGCTAAAATATTTTTGTGTCCCTCAGCTTGAGGCTGCAGTCTCTGCCACTCCAACATGGCTGCCCTCCCTGAGGTATCTGTTTTGACATGCTGATTTCCTCCATTAGTAGGGAGAAGTCTTACTGGGTCCACCCTACAGCCTCATTTGCAGCCATCTTATGTCCAAATAAGGTCACATTCAGAGATGAGGATTTCATGTCTTCTTTAGGGGAGCCAACGCACAGCAAAACAGATGGGAGAAGACAGTCTGCAAAGTTTCATTGGGCGATCTTCAGAGGTGAGAGGGAGGCGTGCTGGGGGTACATGGACACTGACCAGGCATTCCCTAAGCTTTGGTGTTTGTCCCATCAGGACCCAAGGCTCCCCATTCTTGTGGCCAAGCACTATTTCTACTTTATCGCGTTCAATCCATGAGGTGAACTTTGAACTATCCTTTATGCTTAAATTACAGATGGGGACTCAAGCTTCCAAGAGACGCAATCCTGAGCTCAGGGTCATCTAGCAAGTGCACAGTGCTGAGAGCCCAAGAAGGTCCCCACTCCAGGAATTGGTGGGTGCCGGTCCCGGAGACAGGGCAGACAGGCATAACTTCTGGCAACTGGTCTGGAGAAAGTACCTAGCAAGGGGCCTTGTGAACTTCAGGTCACCAGCTCTCACCCCACTGTTCCCTGGTGGAGATCCGGGCCAGCGCTTTATTTTTGTGGACTCAACACAGGTTCTGCCCTACCACCGAGCTACACCCAGGAGGAAACCTGGTGCTTTTCCAGCTTTCCTTGTCCCTTGGAGAGGAGTGACTCAGAAAGAGAACTCCAGGTATGGCTCAGCTATCCCCAGTTTTGGCCATTCCTTGGCTTTTTTTGTTTGTTTGTTTGTTTGTTTGTTTGTTTTGTTTTGTTTTCCTAATCAGGAAAGCCGATTTTCAAAATACCTTTTTCTGTATGAAGCCCCCAAACCCATCTTTTCAGAAGAACCCCGCAGTGTATGCCAACAGTCCCGAAGACCCAGCCCTCTCCAGGAACCTCCAGCAACTCCCAGCTCTGGCTTTCCTGAGTGAGACAATGAGTTGTAACCCGCATGCCAGTGTAGGAAGCCAGGGACAAAAAGCTGCCCAGGCCTACCTTTGTGACGGGTGAGTTTCAATAATTATTAGAAATGCAGGTGAGACGGCCTTAAAGAACAGTTTTCCTTTAAAACACAATATTCTCCTTTTAAAAAAAGATTCATGTCGAGATTCTCTATCTGTTGTTTGTCTCAAAACAAAGTTGGTAGCCAGAAACCACCGCCCTGAGGTTGGCGACTGTTGGAGACTGGCAGGAGGGGGTTTTGTTCTATAAAACAGCAAGTTGCTATGGTTCATCCAAATTCTATTCCTCCTACTACTGTATAACGAAAGGGATTTTTTTTGTTATTGTTTTTGGCTGAAAACTCGGAATTGCATGTAACGAACAGGGTGACTTCTGTGATTACTAATAAAGCAATAGAAGTTAAAAAGAAAATCAAAAAAGCATGAAAGTATGGCTCCATGGGATGACCAGTGTGGCTCTAGAAGAGGCGTGTTTCTCAAACTGAGTCACTCCCCAACTCAACACTTTCTGTTGCCTCCAAACTGCAGAGCGCCCGATTGCATTTTGCTAAGCCACCAGTGCTCACCCGCCCGTCTGTCCATGTGTCCATCCACCTGGCCTCTGGCACCCCCTCCTCCATCTAGGTGCAGAATCCAAACCCGTATCTCCCTTCGCGCCCTCGCCTGGGCAGGTAACTCACCAGCTCAGCTCCGGCTCCGCCGCGCTCTGCACGAAACTGAAAGTGGCTGCGCTGTTCGCCTGTTCGTGGAACCCGCCGCCGCTACCGAGAAATCACGTGGATTCAAAGTGCCAACCCCAGGGCGTGCGGGGAGGGTGCCAGGAATCCGTCGTAGCTTGGCGATCGCAGCCTTGGACACTGTGCGCAGGGTAAGGTGGGCATCTGCCGGCGGTGGGTGGAGCCAGAGCGCCCCAGGACCCACACAGTCCTCCTTTCCCCGCCTCCCCGGAGACCACAGGAAGGAGGCAGAAGAGCCGCTTGGGTCCAGGGTCCTGACTTGGGGCTTCCAGTGCGCTGCAGGATGACATCCGCTCATCACCTGAGACCTGACCTGGACAAGCAGGATCTCCAGGTGTGTCTCTGCCAGGCGTTGCGGAATCACAAGACACAGGTGCAAGGGTTCCCTTATCTACAGAAGAAAGATGAGCGCAGAGGTGAGGGAGGATGGAAAGCGGTGGGCTGAGAGGAAGAGACTGCAGGGTCAGTCCTGGAAAGCCACTGGTCCTGTGTTTGTTCCAAGTTCTTCATCCTGCCCTGCCTCTTGTTCTTGTCCCAGAACAGAGGCCAGGCTCCTCCTGAGGATGGCTCTGTCTTCTATACAGAGGTCTCTGTGACATCCCACAGTGAAGCAACTCTCCTAGACCGCTCTGGGGAGGAGTGGAGAGACAAGCTCGTCTGAGCACTGAAGGGGAGGGTTAGAAGCACACCCATGACCCCAACACCTCAGGCTCAAGTCCTTCTCTTTAAGTTCTGGCTATATCAACTTGGATCAGTGGTGCTCAACCTTCCTAAGGCTGCTTACCTCATGTTGTGGTGACCCCCAACCATGGAATCATTTTTATTGCTACTTTGTAACTGTTATGAATCATAATCTAAATCTGATATGCAGGGTACCTGATATGAGACCCCTGTGAAAGGACCGGTTGACTCCAGAGGATCTCGACCCTCTGGTTAATAACCACTGCCCTAGGCAAAAGGTTTGGCCCTTGAGTCTCAGCTCTGCCTTTTGTCCTGCGGACCATGACAATGCCTTTCTATTCCTTAGTAAGAATGGAAGACCAGAAGTTAGGGCAGATGTAGCATGTACTGGAAACTCTTTTTCTTTTTTTAACTTTTATTAGTTACACTTTATTCACTTTGTATCCCCCCCATAAACCCCTCCCTCCTCCCCTCCTGGTCCCACCTTTCCTCCCCCTTCTTCACGCATGCCCCTCCCCAAGTCCACTGATAGGGGAGGTCCCCCTCTCCTTCCTTCTGATCTTAGTCTATCAGATCACATCAGGAGTGGCTGCATTGTCATCTTTTGTGGCCTGGTAAGGCTGCTCCCCCTTCAGGGGGCAGTGATCAAAGAACAGGCCAAGCAGTTTATGTCAGAGGCAGTCCCTCTTCCCATTACTATGTAACCCACTTGGACACTAAACTGTCATGGGCTACATCTGTGCAGGGGTTCTAGGTTATCTCCATGCATGGTACTTGGTTGGAGTATGAGTCTCTGGAAAGACCCCTGTGTTCAAATTTTCTGGTTCTGTTGCTCTCCTTGTGGAGCTCCTGTCCTCTCCAGATCTATTTCCCACTTCTTACATAAGATTCCATGCACTCTGCCCAACAGTTGGCCATAAGTCTCAGCGTCTGCTTTGATAGTCTGCAGGGCAGAGCCTTTCAGAGGCCCTCTGTGGCAGGTTTCTAAGTTGTTTCCTGTTTTCTTCTTCTTCTGATGTCCATCCTCTTTGCCTTTCAGGATGAGGATTGAGCATTTTAGTCAGGGTCCTCTCTCTTGATTAGTTTCTTTAGATGTACAGATTTTAGTAGGTTTATCCTATATTATATGTCTATATGAGTGAGTATATACCGTGTGTGTCTTTCTGCTTCTGGGACAGCTCACTCAGGATGATCCTTTCCAGTTTCCACCATCTACCTGCAAATTTCATGATTTCCTTATTTTTCATTGCTGAGTAATATTCCATTGTGTAGCTGTACCACAATTTCTGTATCCACTCCTCAGCTGAGGGGCATCTGGGTTGTTTCCAGCTTCTGGTTATTACAAATAAAGCTGCTACAAACATGGTTGAGCAAATGTCCTTATTATGTACTTGAGCCTCTTAAGAAGCCCTTGTATTCTGGCCTCCTTCTTTTGGTCTTGAATTCCTGTGACCCTGTAACCTCCTTCCTCCCAGGACAAAGGTGAAAATCTAGAAAGTTCTAGCCAGGTAGGAGCAGATGGCAGGGTTATTTTGCAGTAATTGCTTGGATGTGGCTCCCAGCCTGCCTAGTTTGACCTCTAACAAATGCCTCGATTTTAGCCAGCTTCCGTTTCCTGTTGTCAGGTGGTAGCATCCCAGCCTGTGGTACATGTTGGGCTGTTGGCTGTACGTATGAGAGGAACTGCAGTCCAACAGTAGGGCTCAGTCCAAAATCCCTCCAACTGCCACCTGTTGCTGGACCTACACCCTTCTGTGCTGACAGAGGGGTGTCGGTGGGCACAGACAAGTAGCCGCCACCCAGAGAGACAAGCACAATGTACTTAAGGGCACACGTCCTCATGAGGGGGCAGGACAGAGGTGAACATCTCATCAGGCACAAGAAGAAATGAGATCCGGAGAGGTCAAGCGAGAGCTAAGGGTCACATGACAATGAGAAGAGCGGCGCCTTGAACCCAGTACCCTTTGGCCTGTGCTATAAGGCATCCTATGAGTCCAAATGCTGCCAATTTTCATGAGATCAGAAGGCAGGGAGGGTGGCTGAACCCTTACCTGAGTTGCTGGCTGCTCCTCCCAGCCACCAGCAGGTAATTCTGCCCTAATTGTATGAGGTCATTGGTCACTGCCCAGGAGGGGCAAGAATATATAGACTGGGAAGGACGAGGGGAGAAGGTTCCACCTGTACAGCTCTGCGGAAGCCATCATCCATGCTGGGCAGAGACTCTCCAGTGCGGCCACTTTGGGGTCATAGACGCTCTGTAAAGAAGACCAATAAACTCACTGGCTGAACGCACAGCTGAACTGTGGTGACCCAGAATTTTAGTTTGTAACTAGGACATCAGGAGGAAGGGATAGGTGTTGCTACATCTCCCCAGGGAAAGGCTTTTCACAACAGCCCAACCAATGGCCAGGAACCTCCACGAACACCAGGTTCCTTTGGCCAAAGTGCACACGGTTCTTCTCTGCTGCCTTGCATGGATCTGCTTTGGAGAGCTGCGTGCCTGTGTGTGAGAACTGGCCCAGTGTGCCAGGAGAAGGAAGAAAGGTGAGCAGACCCAGGCTTGGACAGAGTAGAGTTCCTGGTACAGCTCTGAGACGAAAGGCTTCCCCGGTGGAAGTATTACATCTCTGCTCTGAGGGGGAACGTTTCCCCAGTATGACTGTTACAGCTCCGAAGGGAAAGGTATCCTGGAAGTTGGAGCCAAAGCCACACTGCGTGTAACAAACCTCACACAAGAGATTTACTGGGAGAGACACAGAAGGGTGGCTACCTCTGCTCAGGTGAAAAGCAGCAGGGAACTGAGCAGGAGACAGGCATATATATATATATATATATATATATATATATATATATATATATATA